TTTTTTAGCCATCCTGATTGAGATTTGTTGCTGTGCCTGGGATCACTGTCCCATTTTTGGCTAAACTTTAGCTGTCAGACAGATGGCCTCACATTTGACTCCAGAATACTTTGGTATAGGCATGAGTTCAATGACAGCAAGGTGCCGTGGTCGTGTGGCTGCAAAACAAATCCAAATCATCACCCCTCCATCACCGTACAGCTGGTATGAGGTGTTTGTGCTGATATGCTCTACACATCTCCACTTTGGGCTGGTCCATCCAAAGGACAGTGCTCGAGTTTTGTGATTTGTTTAGATGCAGCTTAGAGAGAAGAGACATTCTCCTGACAATCCTTCCGAAATAACCATACCTGTTCAGTCTTTTGTGATTATACTATCATGAACTTTAACATTTAACATGCAAACCAAGACCTGTAGAGGCTGAGATGTAGCTCAGTGTCTCTGAGAATTGCATGGTGTGACACTGGGGTGAATTTGCTCTGACCTCCACTGGGTGTCATCGTGTTACCAAACATCTGAGCGCTCCAGACCAGCAAACTGACATCACTGTTAAAAGTGACGACCAGTTAATCAAGTGCATTTTGATTAGCAGCACCTAGCTGTTTTTACTCTAATAATTCCTCTGGGATCAGTAGGAATGTACTTAGTTTTTCACAGGACTCATGCAAAAAGCTTTTTTTTTTGCTATGGCTGTATGACTGAAAACGAGAGGCAGTGTCTGCATGCTGTTACCTGGTTTCCCTTTTAAACCAGCTGGTCCATCTACACCTTTATCACCCTTGTCACCTGCAGAAGAATCAAAAATCATTAATAGCACCCTTTGTTGTTAGCTGTATTTCAACCTCGTAGAAGCTTCCTGTTGACCTTGTCATGTAGTTACAACGTTCTACCACCAGATGGCTGTATCACACATTGCAAACTCAACAGGGCCGCACGCCTTTCTAGATGGTCAACGTTTGACCAACAGTAGGTCACAATTAATTATTCCAACAAGATAATTTATACCAAATAACACTAACATCCACATATATTTTTAATTGAGACATATCGTCAAATGTTACTATTTGTGTGTAAATCTTGTCCTGAATTTGCACTCACACTGTTGTTTCATCGTGGAAAATAACCCAAATGGCAGTTGCAAATTTTGGGGAAGTGGGTTGCAGTACAAACATCACAATGGCCTAGCTTTGAATGAGGAACAGTCAGAACAGTGAAATACTGTACCTGTAATCTGACCAGTTGTTTTGCCATACTGATGGGTTTGATTTATTTGCGCTTGTTTGAGCTCCTTTGCAAAAAATACGGAAAAACACAGTGGGTAAATATGGTAAAATGTGACCTGATATGGCTTTCCAGTGTCTCAGAGGAGTATACAGTAGAATTCATCCCAAACAGTCCTCCAGCTGCAGTTAGTTGCTTTTTTTGTTCCATATAAACTCAGTAACTCCACAGTTTTACAGTCTGTAGATTTATATAGTTGTTCTTTTGGCCAAAAACGATGTAAGCTCTGCAGACAATCTGATAAGGACCCATATACATGGAGTTACAATTATAAAAGCGATGTCTGCTCATTCATCATGTTTTTATATTATGAATGAACACCAATTTTCCATGTGGAAACTAAACTGAACTGACTTTCTTCAGTGCTCCTGTATCACGGCCAACATTCTTGCAAACACGAACTGAATTTGAGCTTGTGATCTTGTTATGTTGGCATGTCCCTGAAAACAAGTGTTTGTTTTTTTTTCAGGTGTTTTATGAGCTTTGGGCTTTCAGCATCAATGAAATCCAAAGCTGTGACTTCACTCCTTTGCCTGATATAGCTGACACACAGCCACTTTCCTAATAGCGTATTAATCATAATGAATACTGAGAAACTGAATGTCTAGAAAGACAGGGGAACATGACTGCTCATAAAAACAAAAACTACAATAGAAACTGTTTTAGCCACTTCAGGCAGAGCAACTGCATGACATCATGTTGCAGGATCTTTTGATGCGATAACTTAAAACGTGAAAGAAACCGACAAAAATACAAGCCTTTAGTGGAAACTGTCTAGTTAGCTCAATAATGAACAGATTTAATTTTTAAAAACTCTCCTTGTGTGTTTGTCTTGGGACTGATTAAGTCTGCCAGTTAGTGTAGTGATGCGGGTTTTAGTTGAGACCATTGTTAGGGAGCGAGCGGCAGTGAAATCTCAGGAGGGCGTCCGGGAGGCCGTATTTTTTCTTAAAGACAATTTGAAAGTCATTAAGCGTCTGCAGAAACCTCACAGCTACCTATCAAAATGTTTAACGGCACTGGAGCGAGAACAAATTTATACACTCGAATGAAAAATGAAAGGTCATTAATCTTTCTCGCTTTTGGGAACTGAGGAACTAAGTATTACCCCCTGATGTACTTTATTAGTTCTTATTTATTTATTATTTTATTGTAAATATTACACTTGAATGAGTAATGCAATAGTAAGGTTTTACAGTATGGTTTCAGGCAGATGGATGGACAGATAGGAGGCAGGACTAGAGAAGCACTGAGACTGACAGGAAACTGTGTTAAACTGCATATCAAACCTGAACTTTAGATTAAAATGACTTTGTTGTACCTCTGTCTCCAGTAGGCCCAATCTTTCCTGTGTGGCCCAATTCTCCTTTAAGGCCCGACTCCCCCGGCACTCCTGTGGGAGAAAGGAAGGATGAGATTTGGAGGTATTTGCGATAGAGTAAAGAAATATTATTTGGAAAAAGTGTTGAAAATGCTGTTTCAGTCCAACATAGTCTGCATATGCCAGAAAAGTAGAGGATGTGTGCATGTTGGAAGTCAGCATAAACTGGAAAAATCAGTTATTATCACTTTTAATAACTCAAAAATCAATTTCTTTTTGTGTTAGTATCATTATATTTTAGTTTCTTTTGTATAATCTGTGCAACTCTATTCCACGCCATTCAATCTTTTAAGGATTCTCCCTGCAAAAACTGCTGTCGGATCCACTGTCTGTTAAATGCACGTATTTCTAGTGTCATTTTTACTGTTATTTATTTAATCATTTATGAATACATTTTATTTTTTTAATCTAAAAACAAAGTGATTGTAATGGATTGAAGTACACTATAATCTGATTACCACTGCCTGGCTTACTGTTTTGTTTGTCTTTAGAAGAACTCAGGAGTGTGCATGATTTTGGAGGGTGCCTTAAAAATGTATCCTAAATGGAGAACATTAAACTAAAAGACAGTGTGTGCATGTGTGTGTTTGTGTGTGCCGGTATGTGTGTGTGTGTGCGTGCACATGGGAAAACTAGCAGACCGAGGCTCTCTGCCAGCCCCTGAATGAGTGTTTCCTCAGGAAACTATTCAACTGAAAATTGATGGCGTTTAAAATACTAAGTGACGCATTGGAGAAGCCTGCCACTATTAGAGGGATTTGCCACACACACACACGTACAGCCAGCTATTCACTAATATTTCACATGTCCCGCTTGCGCATGTTGACTTTCGACTCAGTGATTTGTGAGAAGTGTTGGCAGAAGGCATGAGTTCTTATGGATTGTGTGAAGTCGCTGGGAAAAATTTGCTCACACAAGGGTGCGATTTTTATTTATTTTTTCTTTTAAATTAGGAAAATTATGCATGAAAGCGCCCGAGAAGCACACTCGCAAAGTGAATGCTTCAACAACACTGAAGTGACAAGTGATGACAAGAAGTGCTTATACGTGTTTGTTTTGTTGCCACACGAAGAAAGTTAATCTGGTGGTCTTTTGTTATTCCATCTGCAACAGGTGAATAATGTTTTAGCAGCGCTTACGCTTGCCAGTTAAACGGCCTATCTCAACGTTCAGATAACGGTCCTTCCTATCACTTTTAATGGCCAACCACCCCAACTGGTTTAACGTCTGGAATCTCCAGCTGCTGGAGGATAAAGGAGGCGAAGCCTTGGGGCCTAAGGCAAATTAAATAAAGCCTTCAGCTATTTCAAAACACCCTTGAACTAAACAACTAGCTGTAGCCATAACACAACAAATATAAAATGCATTTGGTTTCTAAAATGATCTTAAATCAGTGTATTGACTAAATGTTGCTTGCACAATTGCAGAAGTGGAGTCTCATTTTTGACATTTCTGTTTAATAAAGATTAATAGAGAGATGGAACATGAAAATAAGGTTGTTCTGTTGTGCACTTCTAGCTACCTAAAAGTGCACAAGATCTAAGATCCTCATATAACACCATAGTTTTGAGCCAGAGCGATACATCAGCCAATACATAATGCAAAAATAGATGTGTGTGTCATCTCATGGTTTGTCTGCCACCCTGTGCAGCACACACGAACCAGAGACATACTAGACTCACTAGGTTATAGACATACTGAATTTATACTGTCTGTTGATACAGGCTCTAAAAACCTTGCACTGGACATGCTCTTCCACTTTTTTTGGTCTATAATGCAAAGATTTCAACCTCAGTTACAGTTTTGATTCAAGCTAAAAAATTTAGTCCAGCACAACAGTTTGTTGTTGTTAATAAGCTTGGAGCAACAAACTGTTTTTGTTGCCCACCGGAGCATTAGCAGTCACATATTCCCATTTAACATTCCAAAATTAAGCAACTGTTTCCTGTAAAACTGCCTAAATTAAAACAGGGAATACATGCGTCATCTGTCAGGCTGCAGACATACTACAGTTACAGAATCATCACAGAAACCTGCTTTCATGCCTACAGTAAGCATACACACATAGAAACCATAATGACTGGCTTTGCTATACAGTTGAATAATGTCCGCAAAGTTGAAAAGTTGAAAGAGTTTCACGTGTACGTGCTTTCTGCACTTTTGAAAATGACCCCAGCGGCCCTGGCATTCGTCTCCCACACACACACTGATAAAAGAAGGGTGTTTTTTAGTGTGCAGCGTGCACATGTGTGAGCTCTGTGAGACGTTATAGAATAAAACCCAGGTGTGTGCACATATATGATCATGATTTTTTGCATCTATATTTACACATGTGTGAACTGTCTATTGTCTTGTACTCTCTGGCATGTGCAGGATGCTGCATTTCATGTATTTTTTTTTTAAGCATGTGTGAGCAGGTATTTGTGTGTATGCCTATCAGCTCAGCTGGAAAAAAAAAAACCTTGTGAAAGCCCCTGCTTTCTTCAGCAGCAATTTACAGATCTGCTTCCTCCACAGATATACAGATGTCATGTCAGTGCAGTGCTGTTTGTCTGTGGCACAGCTGAAGGGAAATGCAAAAGCTGCACACTGGGTGGTTTTGTTACTAGCTATGTTTGTTCATATTAGACAAGCAAGGAAAATTAACTTTAAAAAAAAAAAAAAAAAAGACTGGTGAAGCCAGACTTAATTTTTTTTTATTTCCTAGGTGTGATTATATAGATGTACACTTACGGCACTCATCACTTTTTCTCTTCTTTTTAACCTTCAGCTGTTCTACCCCACTGCAACACCTAAAGGAAACATGCTAATGAAGAAGCTGGGGATTTTCTTGCATTTACATCTATTCAAAATAATAAAAAAAAGAATTCTGAGAAGTGAGTTTGGAAAAACTATTTTACGGTATGTGATTTGAAAACCTGCCAATTAGATTTTTTTTTTTTTTTTTTAGAGGTTTTAAATACAAATGGATTTTTTTCAAAGAGCATCGTGTCACGTTTATTAGACTTGGAAAATTGTACTAAGTATAAGAGTCACATTTTTGTATTTGTTAGCAAGCGTATGACTAAAAAGTACTGCAGTCAGCTCCATTTGCCTCTGTGCGCACACTTACCAGATGAATGGTGAGCAGCTACAATGACAATATCAGGAAGGAAGCAGTCGCCTGCACCTGTTAACTGAGTGTCTGAGTGCCATTAAGGCAGATGTGGAGTCATTGTGATTATACTGATGTTTGCCTGTTACACCATCCTAAACCGCACTCTGATAGAAAAGCAAATTAGATTTTATTTGGGTTATACTGGTGATAAAGGGGAACCCCACTGATTTTACACATCAGTTTATTTGCTGGCTCAATGAGGACTGCGCTCGTGGACAAAAAGTTGTATGAATCCTTTTTTTTTTTTCTAAATGTCTTTCATGTTTTGTGAGTATACACATTACCGGGGTCTACGTGTTTTTGTCCTACAGCTTAGCCTTTTTTGACTAGAAGGATACTGGATACCTGGAAGTCCTGGTGGTCCATTCTTCCCCAGTTTCCCCTGATCTCCATCATCTCCAATCTCACCTTGGTCCCCTGGATTTTAGAAAAGAACGATTGTAAACAAAAAGGCCATCAGTGTGGCGATCCATTGTCAGCGCTAACAGCACGTCAAAAACCACTTCAGCAAAGAGCTTTGGTGAATGATTGTGCGTAAGTTTCAATGTAAGTGTAGCAGAGTGTTTCTAATCATCACAAGGAGATGGACTGAATCCTCTTTGGATGTTTATAAAGAAGAAATAAGTCTGTTTTAATAAGTCTTCGGCGAGCCAGTATAATTTTTAAAGGCATCGGTGCTTTAAAAGCATTAATGGCACAAAGTCCTTTTTAGAGCTGAAAGCACAAATGAGGTGTAGCAGAAATGTTTGAGGCGGGACCATGGATCAAAAGGCTCTTGGCATGAAATCTTAAGAGATTTCTGAATGTCTATTAAAACAGTAATTTTGCCTCAGTTGTTGATGCAGGCAGCAGTTTATATCTTGTTAAATGCTGGGCTTAGAAAGAA